ATTGCTGCGCCATAAAATCTTACAAAATCAAACTTTCATAATAATATAATTTGATATAAATATACTTTATTTTTTTTGCAATTGATCAAACTTTTCTTTCCTTTACTTATCACTTTTTTTTTTTATTAAAAATATTCTCAAAAATCTTTGAATTTCAAATGAAAAAAGACAACATTTCAATTAATGTTTCTAAATTTGCACCTGAACAACGTTATCATCTTTTTGCAGTGTTATTTGATGCTGATCCATCCATATCTGATTCACTAAGTCCTGAACAACGTCGTCGCTTATATGCTGTATTAATTGCTATTGATTATTCTCTTACAAGATCACTTTCAGATGCACGTAGTGTCATATGTGATATTACCAATGAACAAGTAAGTTTTTTTATTCTTTATAATAAATATTTATTATTTGACTAATATGATTTATATTATAGTTTTCTGTAGGGTCTATGATGAATTCTCTCAAGATTAAAGATTACAAAGATTATAAAAAAAATCAAAAGGAAATCAATAAAGAGTTTCAATGGAATGATTTTCTAAAACTTGATAAGAGCCAATACTTGAATTTCAGGGTAAATATTTATAGTTATTATATTTTAATATTGTATATAGTTTATTAATTTTACGTTTTATTATATTATAGAATGATCTATAAAATCACGTAACATCCCATTTTTATGAGGTGAATCTTTTTCTCATCAACCAAAGGGTAAAGCAGAAGAAGTTATTAAAGATGTAAGGGTATTCAGAATTTATATTTACAAAAAGATATAGAAAACTAATATTTATTTATTATATAGTTTAAAGTGGTAAATCCAATATTTCTATTCTCTGAATCTGATTTTATTCTTCACAATTAGCTTATTTCATATTGCAACCGTATGGATAAGTATTTTTTTGATAGTTTTTTAATAATAGTTTAAATGGTTTAATTATATTCTAAATTTATATTAATGACAGTTGATCAAGTAAAAAAGAAAAAAATCAATGAAGTAAAAAAACAAGGCCTTGCATCACCACTACCAAAGAAGAATACTCGACCTTCACCATGAAAACATAAAATAGAAGATGCAAAGAACATTCTTAATGAAGTAGCTGATGATGTACAAGATTCCAAAGGTATTATTATATTTTTTTAATATTTTTGTTTTATTAATAACCTTACTTTCAATACATCTTATATTACATATAATAGATGATTTGGGCTTCACTAATACTACTGAAACTGTTAATACTTTTCAAGATCTTATACTAATATTATTACCAAAGAAAAATAATCAACCTTCACCACAAAAGTGTAAATTAAAAGACATAAAAAATATTCTTAATAAAGTAGCTGATGATGTATAAGATTTCAAAGGTATAATTATATTTTTTAATATTATTTTTGTTTTTTATTACAAAATTTTATATTACTTACTTTCAATACAAAATAATAGCAATTACACCTCTTATTACGACTGCAACTGATGTTTTAGATTCCACTGATACTACTATTGAAACTATTAACATTTCTCAAGGTAGAGGTAATATTGTTAATGTCTTATTCTTGTATTTATAACATTATAACTATACTTATTATTTTCTGTTTTATAAGGTAAAAAAAAGCAAGTAAAACCAAAGATAAAGAAAACTTTACGTCAAACAAGATCTAATAAGAAAGCTAAAACTGGTAAGAATTGAGAAAATTAATAAATTATATTCATTTCAGAAAATAGTAAACTTTTATTCCGATTTACTTTAGTAAAAACTCCATGATTCTATTGGCCTTATTATAACTTAATATTTGGATACTGAGAAAATGGTAGACTTTTATATTGGCTTATTTCAGTGAAAATTCTATAGTTTCGTTTACTTTAATTATAGCTTGTATTTAAATAATATTGATATTATTACCATATTTGATCCAGAATTTTTAAGTAAAACGAAACTATTTAATAATTTATATTTGGCAACTAAATGTTCGATATTTTCAGTGTAATCTTTGAATAATTTCCATATTTTAATAATAAAAATTCCAGAAATATGCTACATTTACTGAAAAAATACGGAGCCTTATATATATTAATATAAATGGAAAAAACTCAGATTTATATAAATGGAAAAAAGACGGAATATAAAACATAGAATAATTCAACCTAATTTTTTTTACAGGGTCATTGTACCTTAAAAATGATAAAACAATCATCTTTAATGAACAATAAAATTGTCATACCTAAGGAATGATAATACTATCATTTCTTAGGTACTATAATACTATTGTCAATAAAATAATTATTCCTAAGGAATGATAAAATCATTATTCTTTAGATACGATAAAACTATCGTTTCTTAGATACAATAATACCATTATCCTTAAGAAATAATAAAACAATCATCTCTAAGGAATGATAAAATCATCATACTTTAGGTATGATAATACTATTATTTCTAAGGAACGATAAAACAATCATCCTTAAGGAATTATAATACCATCGTACCTTAAGAACGATAAATCGTTGTACTCAAGGTATAATAAATATATCATTTCTTAAAAACGATAAAACTATCGTACCTTAGATACGATAATACTATCGTTTCTAAGGAATAATAATACCCTATTATTCCAATCAAATGTCAATTAGTTATAAATAAGATAGGTCAAATTTTGGCTGATTCTTGGCCGATTTCTGATGTATACTAATCAGTTAGGCTGATTTTTGATAATTTGTCGAATTTAGCCAGATTTTAGGCTAATTTTCGCATGTCCAATTTTTTTGATTTTGATCAGTGCTAGTCTAATTATACTTTTAAAATGTCTAAGTAAAGTCTTTGTCAAGTTACTCAATATCAGACTGGCCTCACTTTTTGTCTAGCATAACATCCTAAAAGGTTTAAATTTTGCTGATTTGCCTTTTAAATTTACTTTTAATCCTATTTATATCTTAGACAATATCAAGCAAGATGCTATTTCTAAACTATAGGTCTTCCTTCAGGATATGTCTAAAGTATATAACCATATAAATGTCTTCATCTTAGTTAAGACAATGGAAAGACTCAAAATTCCATTCAGTTTCATTTGCATTATTATGAAAACCTTTCTTCCAAAATTTAACAGAATATTTACATCATATGATAATATTGACCCTTACCTTATTTTTTCTGAAATTGATCAAGAAGAAGTTATTTCATCCTTATTGTAATGCATCTACTATGATTCTCTATTTTGTAAAGTTTAAAACTCATCATATGAATATATGATAAATTGTAATTAGCATTTTGATATATATGTGTCTATTACTAACTCTTTTACAAAAAGAATCTCTGCTTTAGCTTTTATAAATGATACATTCTGAATCACTAAATTAATAGACAAACGTTCTTCAATTGTCAACATTGTCTAGATCTCTTTAAAGAATAACATGACCTTTAATATTAATCAAATCCATGAAGAAATCAAGTCTGCAGTCATAATTATATAAAAGAAATAGTTAACAGATATTCAATTAACATACATTTTTAATACTATTATCTTTTCACGCATTGAATATAGGTCACAATTTACTTTATATTCAGAATAATATTGCTCTAGAATTATTACTACTTACGTGGCTTTTATTCGTAAAAAATTACACTTCTCTAGAAAAACACTGTCTTTTTTGTTCCTATTACATTATTTTTATAATATCCAGAATTTTAGCAATATCCTATTATAAATGGCCAATAAACCTATTTTGTTAAGTCTTACTTTTAAAATTCACATATAGCATTTACAAAACAAGAAATGGTTACATAAAAGCCTTTTAATGTTTTGGCTATATAAAGTCCACTATTTCAAAAATAACTGGCACTTATCCCTACTCAGTGCTCTTAATAGACTCAGTATTAATATCAACATTTCTTTTAATAAATGTCTAATAATAGGAGGAAATACATCATTAATTGATCTTATTAAACTTGTATACAAATCTCACATCTACAATCTTAGAAAATACTCAGTTCTCTTTGTCAAACAATTAGTAAACTATCATAATACTTACATGTTCTCCTATAAAGATCTCTTTCAAATTATTTATCAAAATTCAAGATTTTCTCGAATTTCAAAATGGTTTACTATTATGGAATAACATCTACAACCTTCTTCAAAGAGATTTATAACAAGATCTTTATTTTACAACCAGTTTTATAAATACAATTTATATCAACAAAACCTTATTCCTGATAATAGAACATATGGGAGTGTTTCTAGGAAAATCAGGTTCTGAGAAATTTTTGACTAAAATTAAGAGCTTAATACATTTTAATCTAATAACATCAAAAACTAAAATGCAATAAAAATCTCAATTTCGCTAAAAAATTTCCAGAACCTGATTTTCCTAGCAATCAACCCATATACTGTAGAATAAAACTATAATATTAACAATTTTTTTTAGGACAGGTAATTCAAGCTGATCAAAAATATATTACACATTAAGCACTATATTTATAAAAGTAATTCTGATTATAGTACTAAATTAATCTCTTATTCTTGATATTTACTATACTAATAATCAGCTACTGATTCAGATAAATTTAATTATTACCTCATTATTCCTTATAAATACTGTGCAGCTTTTCTAAATAATTATTATTCAGAATATAATTTCACAGCCTTATCAATTAGTGTACTAAATGAACTTGTTCTTACCTATGCTATCTCTGTATCAGAACCACAATTCTTATATATATCACATTATGCTACTCCTCCTATATAATATTTTTATAGATAGATTTATTTCCTCTTTCTAAAAATCTGAATTACTAATGCTTTCTTCACATTTTCTCCTGTTCATTGGATTAGAATTTTATACTGATAGTTTCTTATAAGATGTTAATCTTCTCTTAATTAAAATAGGATCTACTTGATTATAGATGCATTTAAATTCGCCAATAGTTTCCTTTAACACATCCCTTTTTACTAGTTTTTTCTTTTCTTCATTACCAGAATTTGCAGCCCTTTTCATAGCTCTTCTGACTGCATCTATTAATTGTAAAATCAAAATATATACTGATTTAGCTGTTATTATATCTCAATTCAATAAATACAACTTCCTTTTAAAACATTCTCTAACCTTTTGATCCTTTTGAAAATTAACAATTTAGTGCATTAGTCCTGTCTTTTTGAATTAATCACTATTAACAATCTCAAAGTTTCACTAATAAAAGTCAATGCGTACTCTGATAATTTTTTCAATAATAAAGTAGACGCAATGGCAAAAACAACTATAACTTTTTTAGCTTGAATTACATTTAACTTACTGACAATTATTTTATCAATAATCATTTAACTAACAATCATTTGGCCGACAGGTACATTTTACTAATACTTGGATTATCAACTATCATTTTACTGATATGATTATTTAACCAATAGGTTATTTAACCAACAAATAATAGAATTTTTAAAAATTTATATTTTTTATTTGGTAGTTTGGACAAGAAAGTTTTATATTTTTGTCAGTAAAAAAACCTATTGGTGAAATAACCATGTTGGTAAAATGATAGTCAGTAATCCAAATGTTGGTAAAATGTACCTGTCGACTAAATGATTGTCAGTTAAATAATTGTCAGTAAAATGATTGTCAGTTAATTAAACCAAATCCCTTTAGCTTTACAGTTCAATATTACAGCTGCTTCTACAACTTATCTTAATTATAACAATTTTCCTATTCTCATTCTAATAAGGCAATTAATTAAAGAAATTTATCATCACCATCACTTATAACAGTTCATTACCCTTCATGTTGTCTTTAAATACTATTGCATTTTTCAACCTAATTGATTTATTACATCATTTTGTATCAATGACAATGCCACTATCAACCATATAATATATATACCTATAATTGAAGTTCTCAAAATTAGATATCCTTTCTTATTTCCATTCTTATCTTTATGCCTAAAGTATGATATTACAGATAAAGACTTCTATCATATTTGGACTTGTCTTATGATTAATTATAAAATAAACTGCTTATTTAATGTATAAAAGATTTTCTAAATTCATTATCAATATATAAATCAGCGATATTGAAAGACTTAATTGGTAAAGTTTATTGACCTCTGCATCCTTTATTGTCTTAATTAAAGGAATAGTTCTTACTAATCTTTTCATATTTATTTACTACTATATTTTATATATGTCTACAGCCCTAGCTGTATGTTTCTCTCTAATGCACTTTATTTTTGAAGAATCCCAAAGATTCTGAGTTAAAAAATATGTCATTTAGTTTAACATCAAAAAAGCTGCAAATCTTACTATTGATAAAATAATGAGAACTTTGTCTTGATCTTCCTTATGCTATTTTTAACAATAACAACAATCCTAATCCAATTGATATTATAGTGCAATTCAGATCCTATTAGACAAATTTTTAGTATAGTAGTGGTCAAGTCCTCTTCTGCTTTTTTTGTTTTATTTTCTTGAAAATGATAGTTTTAGTTTAGGTTAGAATTGATTTGAAGGAATATAAGATCAGTCTTATTTAGATTAGTTTTCTTTTCTTTATAAGACTTTTTTATTATAATAAAGATTATGTGAAACTATCACATTTTAAAAATAAAAAAAAATATTTATTTATTTAGCAAAAATTTAATTTTGATGAAAAGGTCTCAAAGCCCCTTTTTCTAACAAATCTCTTATATAAGATATATAACTTCAATAAAATTATAAAAAGAGTAAATAAAATTAATAATTACTCAATATATCACAGATGAGTATTCATAATAACTCAAAAATT